GAGAGAGAGAGAGAGAGAGAGAGAGAGAGAGAGAGAGAGAGAGAAAAGAAAGTTTTTTCCCTTTTTTCTTTCCTTCCTTCCTTCAGAATTAAACTTTCATTGCTAAAAAACATTTGAAAAATCTTCGCTTTGAATTATTTACTGAACTTTTTGTTAAAATTCAAGAATGTAATATGTGTGTTTCTCAATCAAGAAAATGAAAATTTTTGATCGGGGACCATTTGTTTTACCGAGAAATTTGCTTTTTTAAATAAATTATTAAGATGCTGATGATGAATTTCATTTGTTTCAACCGAGAGAGAGAGAGGAGAGGGGAGGAAATTGAAGAAAAAGAATGTAATGAGATGGAATGAGAGAAAACTACCGAAAAATAAGTGCAAAATTAGAGGAGAAAAGAAGAGTCATCAAAATATTTTTTGATTCCGGTAAAAATTTTTTTTTTTGTAAAGTTTCTTTCGTCATGAGAAAATTCCCGGCAGTCATCGTTGCTAGATGAAATGAAAGTTATCAATTACTGATTTGATTAAATAATAACAGCATTTTCCAACAGCAAAATCAAAACCACGAATAAGTTTTTACCTTTTTGTTTTGTTTTGTCAATTCATTCATGTCTAATTGAAAATTGGTCCAACGAGCACTTTTACACCGACCAAAATATTAACATTTGCATCAATCAATGAATCAAACCGTGTAATCAAATTTGTAAATTGTAAAAATGTTCATTTTCATTCGGGCTCGATGAAAATATGAAATATGTTTTGGTGAAACATTTGTCTTAAAACTATTTCTACCCCAATCACCATCATTATCTTATCAAAAATGTATGTCAAATTAATTTATTCAAATTAGTAGAAATAGTTGAAAAGTTTTTTCGCGCATGTTTTTTTCGAATTCAAATCGATTTTATTCAGATTTTTGTGTTTCCCAAGTTGTTGTTAGATCGCTTCTTTCTCAACAACAAACACAAAAAAAATTAATTCAAAATTCTCATGTTTGATTTGAATTTATTAAAAGAAAAAAGAAAACCAAAAAATCTTTTGGATCGAATTTCTTGCCCAAGACAAAATTTCGTTTGTTTTAATGGTTATCATCATATAGACGAATGAATGAATTTCATTGATTTTTGTTTCGGGATTTATTGGTGAAAGTGAGTGAGTGAGAGTGAGAGGGAGAAAGTGGGAAACAAGAATAAAGATTTGCCCAGCATTATCGATCGGATTGAAAATCTCATTTTTTTGAATTGAATTGATTTTGGTAGTTGGAAAAAAAATATGAAACGACCAATGTGAGAAAATAAAAATGGAACGACAATAAAAAAATTCCCGATTGTTTTATTGAAAGTGAAAAAAACAAAAAAAAAATGAGATCACAGAATCAAATAGGAAAACAAAACAATCAAAACAAACAGAAATATGATTTATTTATTTATTTTTGGGGGTCTATATCGACAGAGTAGAGCCGAAATAGAGTGATCATCATCATCATCGTCAACGACATTATCGATTTGAAACAAAACAAAAAAAAAACAAAAAACAAAAAAAATGACAAATGTTATTCGGAAATGTTTACCATACAAACACACACACACACACACACCATCAATGGAAACGGGAGAAAAAAAAAATTGAGTATCCATTTTCATTCGATTCAAGAATATTCTTGATTCTTACTTACTTACTTATTATTGCTAAATAATGGGAAAATTTTACATGGAAAAAAAACTTGATTAAAAAAAACAAACCATAATTTGTTGAAACTATTAAACGGTAGTCGTAGTACTGGCTTGACTTATATGGAAAATTATTATCTTGAAACAAACAACAACAAAATGTTCAGTTCGTCGTCTTGACAATCTTTGATGTTTGTTTGGTGTGTGTTGATGATGGTGATAAAAGAAACTTTTTTTTTATGCAAAAAAAAAAGAAAAAAATATTGAAAATGAGAAGGGAAACAAAAACTTCATAAATATTGATTAGTTTCCCTCCCTCCCTACTCATTTCCTTTCATTCTCTCTTTATGTTATTATTAATAATATTAATAGGAATATTCTGGCAGGGGGGGGGTTCCAGAATTAGAACAACAACAACAACACCCACCAAAAAATCCGAATAAAAAAAACCAACATTCACTTACCCAAATCTTTGAAAATCTTTGACTTTGTGAATATAACCAAAAATGGAATCAAAAAAGAGAGATCAATAGAATGGTTATATTGTTTTTGTTTTTGTTTATTCATCATTCTTTGACAAATGTAATGGCGATTTGTCGAAAAGAAACAAAAAATGAAATGACAACCAGAAGAAGAAAAAAAACGACCGGCATTTGATCGGGTAGCAGCAGCCGGATTTATTGGCATTTCGGGCAACAACAACAACAACAAAAACCCATATATAACGATCGACACACACAAAGAGAGATCGATCAATAATTTTTCTGTTTGTTTGTTTGTTAGTTGCTTTTTTTTCGAAAGAATTGTCGTCATTAGAGGAGTTTGTTGTTGTTGTTGTTGTTGTTTTGTCGATCGAATTTACCATCATCATCATCATCATCGTTGATATAATGATATTTCTTTCATTTTTAAAAAAAAAGGAAAAACAGCCGAAGAAAAACTGTTAATCATCAAACAATGTTAAAATAGATTGAAACAAAACAAAAAACTAGAAATAATGATCATAACGAAACTGAAAATGAAGAAATGAAGAAAAAAAAAGTTGGCCATCAAAAAATAACGAATGACGACATGATGAATGAATCGGAAAATATTATTTTCATTATTTTTAATAATCGTATTTTTTTTGAATTAAATTGCGGGAAAAAACGAAAGCGAAACAAAACAAAAAAAAAATTTAAAATCGATCCACATTAATGAAATTTTTTTTTGTTGAAAACATTCGAATGTTTATGATGAGCAACAAAAAAAAATAAGAATTCGATTCTATATACACATAAAAGGTTCATGTTATGATTATGATTATTGCTATTTTGAATTATTATTCAAAACTTAATGATGATTGACACAATGTATGTGTGTGTGTAAATGGTTAAAATTGATGATG